TGATTGCCGCCTGTGATGGAATAAATGTGTAAGAAGACTGGGGAATAAGACTGCGTGGCGAGAGTGTGAAAGACTGAGCTGAAACGCCAATGCGGCCGATCGTTGACAATCGTTCTTATGCATTAAATACACCAATGAATCCATGGGCAGAATCACTTGGTTTCAGTGAATTTACATGATATAATTTGTAGTAAAAAAGTAAAGCTGTGTAATTATCCAGATGAAAATGAGTGACTTTTATTAAAAAAGACCTATTCATTGTACAATGTGTAGGTTTGTTTTTATGTTTTGCTTATGATCTCCCTTAAAATTCCCGCCCTAATTAATATTCATGATTGAATGAATGAATAAATTTAGGCCACCTCCATATAAAGACCACCTGTCTATAAAGGACAGTTTGGCTCAGTCCACTGACTGTCCTTTATAGACAGGTTTGACTGTATTTAGTAAACTGCATTTTAGCAGTGATTTGTCATTATGTTCATTGCAACTGATATAGATTCATTTTATATATTATGTCAAATGGTACCAACCTGCAAATGGCAGACTGACTATACGCTGGACCTTCAGTTGCACTCAGTGCTTGCCCAACTTGAGTCTGAGTGAGCCCCAAGGAAAGCCGTCGAATCTTGAACTGCTTGGCAAATTCACGAATTTCTTCCAAATTGACGCCATCCACCTCCGTGTTACTGTTACCATCTATTGTTAAACATGGAAGGTAAAATAAAATAAAAATAAGTATACACAATATTATTGATTGGAGTTTAAATCATAACTATTTTTATCATGCTTTGCAGCTAACTATCCTTGCATACTAATTTAGAACTGCCCAATGGTTTCAGAGAGTTTGGCTAATCCACTTATAAATAGGGAATGGCAGGGTATGACAGAATACAAAACAAGTCTATGGTACATACTTGTAGTAAGCTGACTAATATTGGTGGTGCTGCCGGCAGGATTAGCCTGGGTTTGGGGAGAACTTTGTGTCGCCGTGACAGCTGTAGATAACGAACTAGAAGGAATAGTGGGCTGAGTCAGCACTGACTGGCCAGTAGAACTGGACAAACCTACCGCAGACACAGCCACACCTATATGAAAGAACAAAATAATAAAATAAAATTTAAAGGCAAAATGTACCAACAACTAATAATTAACTATGATATAATTATGTTGGGATCTACACCTTATGAAAGCTTTTCTGAAGAATTTCAAATTAAACAAATAAAGAAAAAAATTAAAGAAATCCTGTCAAACTTGTGCATAGGAACAAGGAACGGCGTTGACCCCTAAATTCTATCCCATAGTATTTGAGAATAATTGACCCTCATTTGGAACAAATTCATGGAATAAATCTGTTACACAAATATGCTAATGTAAATTCTGGAACGGTATGAATATTATCAACAAAATACACCATAGTTCTCTGCCAAGCCATGCTACGATTGGTTGATAGTAAGTGAGAAAGAAATGGACATGACAATATATGAGAAAAGTTGTGGTCACATTCAAGTATTTAAAATAACCAAATTTGATGTTAAACTTGGCTGCCAGTAAGCCAATCTTAACGGGTACAAGGAACATAAAAATCAAACAAAAGAAGTCTGCAAGCAGTTACCAATTTAAATTAATTTGTGTTGTTACCAAAGCAGTGATTAGCACATCAATGAACCAAACCTTGTACAAATTATCAATAATCATAAAATTGTGCTAAATGTCATTTTCACATGTTATACAGAACACACTAAAACAACACGGTTTCTATCAGCAATGTTGTCAAGTTGATGTACACATAATAGGCAGTGGTAAAACACATTTCTTTCCTCTTTTATTACAAGTCAACAAAGACAAAAGTTAATGTTCCGTTCACTGCGAGATCTCACAGAACGAGCGGAAGACATAGATTAAATGTTGACTACAAAAATCAATGTCGAAATGCCAAGCTTCCATAGTGCATTATTAAGCATGGAAATACTCCTAAAATACTTTGAGTTTAATGAATCCCATTTGAAGTTTTGACATCACGACATTATGACCTTTGTTTGTTCCGTTTTAATGTTTCATAGAATATAAACATCAGATACATATTCGACATGACTAAAACCACACTGACTGTCTTCATGAGGTCTGTACAGACAACAGTGAGTGTGCAATCTTACAAAAGACTCAACATATACTCTCACGGTTCGTACATGTTCTAGATTAGACTTTTTAAAAAAAAATTCTATGACCATTTCAAAAAAATCAAAACATTATAAATCATAGTTTTTAAAAGGAAAATCAACTTATATATTTTATACTCAATATCATAGTTAAATTGAAATATATGGCCAATTAAAACATTCAAAGATTGTTTTTTTCGAAGGATAACATATTTTCAGTTGTTTTCCAGACCTCATCAGAACATTTATTCAAATCATCAAGACCTTTTACACACATTTTAGACCATTAACACATCGCCTTGGTACGTTGTTGGCGATCCATAGAGGTTTTCGGCAGGTGATGTGTTGTCAAGTACCCATATAGAGTTCACCAAGCACCTGAAATGAAGCTAATGTCAGTATAGCGTAGTGATATATAGTTTTTACCTTGTGTACTGAGGTGCGTATTTACAGATGGAATGGCAGCAGTCATCACTTGATTGGTAGTATTCTGAAGAACCTGGGGTTGGGCAGTCATTGTTTGGTGGGTAGAGGCAGTAACTTGAGGAGTGGCAGCAATAGCGCCTGCAGCGGATACAGCAGTTAGTGTGGGTTGTGTTTGTGCTGTAGAAGTACAGAGAGTGCTTGGCAACACAGCACATTGTGAGCTTACAGTAGAAGACACAGCGGAGGGAGTAGTTGGTTGGGCTGCAACAGTTGTCACCATCTGTCCACTTGGAATACCTCCAAGACCAGCAGCAGAAAGAACTTGACCAGTTGACGACGGGATGGCAAGAAATTGGACCCCACCCTGTCCCTGCGCAATTGTCACAGGAATTGTTAGGATTTGTTGCTGTCCTGTAGAATTTGTAACTGGAATTGTGAGAAAATGTTGCTGGGGCTGTCCCGTTGCGCTGTTGGCAGGAATGGTAATAAGCTGCTGACCAGTTAAGCTAGTGGCTGGCAGGGTTAACACTTGAGATGATGCGTTTTGCTGTGTCTGAGAAGTTTGTTGTTGTTGTTGTTGAGCTGCCTGTTGTTGAACTGCTTGTTGAACAGCTTGTTGTTGAACAGCTTGTTGTTGAGCTGCCTGTTGTTGAGCTGCCTGTTGTTGAGCTGCCTGTTGTTGAGCTGCTTGTTGCTGGGCTGCCTGTTGTTGAGCTGCTTGTTGTGCTGCTTGTTGTGCTGCTTGTTGCTGAACTACTTGTTGCTGAGCAAGCTGGTGCTGGCCAGCAGCTGAAGCCGTCGGTGTAACAGTATTAGGTAGTACTTGTTGTGTTGTAGACAGTAAGTGTTGACCAGTGCTCACCTGAAAAACAAAATAATAAAGAGTACACATTATCTTTCCATATTCTCAGTATGTTTACTTTATTTGAACTTCTGTGCTAAGCTTAAATAAAATAATATCCAGGTATCATCATTATCCAATTACACTGTCATTTTTCTACTCAGAGACAACCATATGAAGAAAGATAACACTACATTCTTCAATAAAAACCTTCTCCAATTTAAGCCAAAGGAGCACATTTTCAACAATATTCTTAACAATATATAGGCCAGCCACATCAACATTGAGCCGAACAGATCCAAGTTCAAAAATGATTGGACTAAACTTTTTCTGAATTTTTTTGAATTTTCCTCCCACAAAGTGTTAACGACAACGATGAAGACGACAACGAATACATTCCAGTTGCAGTTTGACAATATGTAAATAGCATGCAAATGTCGTCATGGCAGTTAACTGCAGTTGAATGATGACTGCAGCCAAGATTATACAACATACACATGTTATTATTACACCAGTGATCCCAACATGTTCTCACACAGCTGTCTTTATAGCATGTTGATATAAAGACCATGTACATGCTATGAAATGCACTGGAGGAAATAAATCCCTAACAGTATTTATTATAAATGTAAAATACATTATTTGTGAATATAAATCATTTAAGGCGAGAAAAACTGTACAAGTTTTTAGTCAATAAATTAATTAAACAATAACATTTCTGATTACTTTGCAGGTATCCATTGCAGTTACAATATACTTCAATTAAGAAAAAAAAAATATATCCAGTCTGAGAAGGAACTGAAGGTTATCTGACCTCTATACTTGACTGATCACTTGAAGTAGAACAGGTGTATGGAGGCGTCAAAAGCAAGCACTTGTCATCTGACAGTTTTCTCTGTTTTTTGTGTCTTGTAAAAATTTGCTGATTTGCATATTTTTACAATCAAATGAATGACATGAAAGGTTCACAAAGAACAATAAATATTGTTTGAAAATAAAAAATTAGATATACTGCAGTGATTTCTGTTTACCAAGTCTTTAAAGAAGAACAGCTGAACAAAATTAAAACCCAGTGAATAATTAATGCATTCATAGTATGTTGTTATGATGAATGAAGATTGCTTCCATTTAAATTCTGTTGACATGTTCAACACCTTGTCTGTATTTATATCACATGTCACATGATTAAATAGGATGACCAATCTGTTATGAAATCCAAGTGTCAATAATTGACTTCAAGTGTTGTGGTCGGTACAACAGCCCAGGACAGTGCTTTCAGTCAGCACAATGGTCCAAGACAGTGCTTTCAGTCAGCACAATGGTCCAGGACAGTGCTTTCAGTCGGCACATCAGTCCAGGACACTGCTTTCAGTCAGCACAATGGTCCAGGACAGTACTTTCAGTCGGCACATCAGTCCAGGACACTGCTTTTGGTAGGGACAATGATCCAGGACACTGCTTTTGGTCGGCACAACGATCCAGGACACTGCTTTTGGTCAGAACAATGCTTTTGGTCGGGACAATGATCCAGGACGCTGCTTTCAGTCGGCACAACGGTCCAGGACACTGCTTTTGGTCAGAACAATGGTCCAGGACACTGCTTTCAGTCGGCACAACGGTCCAGGACACTGCTTTTGGTCGGTCGGGACAATGATCCAGGACACTGCTTTTGGTCGGGACAATGATCCAGGACACTGCTTTCAGTCGGCACAACGATCCAGGACACTGCTTTCAGTCGGCACAACGGTCCAGGACACTGCTTTTGGTCAGAACAATGGTCCAGAACACTGCTTTCGGTCGGCACAACGGTCCAGGACACTGCTTTTGGTCAGAACAATGGTCCAGAACACTGCTTTCGGTCGGGACAATGATCCAGGACACTGCTTTCAGTCGGCACAACGGTCCAGGACACTGCTTTTGGTCAGAACAATGGTCCAGGACACTGCTTTCAGTCGGCACAACAGTCCAGGACAGTGCTTTCAGTCGGCACAACAGTCCAGGACAGTGCTTTCAGTCGGCACAACAGTCCAGGACAGTGCTTTCAGTCGGCACAACAGTCCAGGACAGTGCTTTCAGTCGGCACAACAGTCCAGGACACTGCTTTTGGTCGGGACAATGATCCAGGACACTGCTTTTGGTCGGGACAATGATCCAGGACACTGCTTTTGGTCGGGACAATGATCCAGGACACTGCTTTTGGTCGGTCGGGACAATGATCCAGGACACTGCTTTTGGTCGGTCGGGACAATGATCCAGGACACTGCTTTTGGTCGGTCAGGACAATGATCCAGGACACTGCTTTTGGTCGGGACAATGATCCAGGACACTGCTTTTGGTCGGGACAATGATCCAGGACACTGCTTTTGGTCGGTCGGGACAATGATCCAGGACACTGCTTTTGGTCGGGACAATGATCCAGGACACTGCTTTTGGTCGGTCGGGACAATGATCCAGGACACTGCTTTTGGTCGGGACAATGATCCAGGAGGTGTATAAATTGTTGAGAAGGTTTTAAAATCTGTATTTGAGTTTCATTTTATTGTTGAGTGCTGTAAATCACCGGTAGTATCTTATCTATTCAAAATTTACCATCATCTAAAGTTCATGGTCAACAACCACAATATTTTGAAATATCCTGCATGCTAATTATTTAATTTATTATGCTAATTTATGCAATTACATGGAGTATGCAATATCTAATTTACATAATTTGGTTTCCTGGCGTGCTATGAAAACTGTCGTTATATTCAATACATGATGATGTTTAACAAAGCATATATAGTACAACTGGTGAACCATTCCTGAAAACATGCTGAACAACAATTGGCTGACTATTCTTGCAATGTTCTTTAGGAATCAGAATGAGGCAGTTTATCTGAGGGACTGGTTTAAATAATGACTGGACTCTTGGTTGCTAGGCACTACTGAGTGTGCATAGTTACAAAACTAGATCAAAGGTTACAAAACTACAGTAAAAACATGATGAACAACAACTGGTGAACCAAAGCTTTCTCTGTATCAGCACATTGACCTTGAAGGTATTCCTAAAAGAGATGAAATTCAGTATGTTCAGTATTACCTGTGTGCCTAGTCCATGATGTGCTAGTAATGCTTGCTGTTGTGCTTGTAATGCCTGTAACGTAGCTGGGTTCATCATCAGCTGATGAGCTGCTAGTGTAGGCACAGACGAGGCGTTGGACACTGAAAACAGAAAAATGATTATTAGTGATAATATCAGAAAAACCAGTATTGTCTTGAGGGTGAGAGGGGAGAAGACAATAGATTCAATAACTTTACTAATTTATGACTTTTCTAATAACAGATATCGAATACATGCCTTACAATAACCATCATGAAAGAAACGACTAATCAAACCCACAGTGGCGTGTCTATGGTCAAAACAAGTTATATTTGAATGATGAAGCATACAATCAGTTAGAGATGCATTCAATAGAGCAAACACAGTAGCTATATTTTTTAAGTATTTCTAATAAAAGCACATGTAAACCAGCTGCATTCGATGTATACTGGATGATTGAAATGTGACTCATTGTAACCATAGAAACACCTGTCATGTGTCATTTACATAAGTGTATATGCTACTACAGTGATAATACAAATACCACACCCACTCAGAGTACTTACCATCATATTTATTGACATCAGCGGCTGAAGTCGTCACTGTATTGTCATGAATTGATTGCACTGCCACTAATAACTGGTCCTGTATACTGTCTTGTCGTATAGAGGGCTGTACTGTGTGGCCTGACAACATGGGATCCTAAAACAAAACATTGAAAATATGCTGTCAATTACAACAAAATAAATGTCTCCCACAAGGCTTTGCCAGTTCCAATTGTTCTGTTATAATAAGCTAAAACTTTTAATTAAGTTTAACAATTATTAATAATGAATAACTAATTACATTCAACACTCTCTCACAAGATAAAACAGGACAAGGGTAAAGTGGAAGTTTTTTATTATATGAATGTCCTAAATCCAGAAATCTTGACAAAAATTAGGAGGTGGGTGAGCAAAGTAGAACTGACAAAGAAGTCATTTTTATATTTGCAGACTCCAGAGGGTGCACTAACATGTAGGAATGAATGACTATTAAACATCAATAAATGTTACTTTAACACCAACCATGTTATTTTCCAATTAAATGTATGCACATGTCAAATAATATGAATGAATAAACACCAAAAGTTAAAACAGTGGGTCATTATATCTGTAATTGTACCACTGTTAATTACAAATTATTATACTGGTAATAAATATAATAACAGAAAACCAAATACTGAATAAAAAATACTGAAAGAAATAGGTGTATAGTTTTCAACAAAATGTTAAAAATATATTATTTTTACCAAAATTGACGAAAACAATTACCAAGAAGAAAGAATTGTCAAGAAATTATGAAATCTGATAGAGGTACAGAGAATTGCTTGATTTCCACCATCTTGAATTGTCAAATGAATACATGTACATATGTGTGACACAAGGCATGATGGGTAAATCAATATTATCAATCAATGCATGTCAGAGATATGTATCTCTAATAGAAGAGCACATAAACACAACTACATTTAGTATATACTCAATCATAAAAATATGATTTATTTTGACCTTGACATACCCTTGTCTTTTACAAAACTACATGTGATACAAACAAAGCAAGTATAGTTAGTAATTGCTTCAAACTGAAGTGGCATGTAACGAGTCAAATAAAGACACCTAATTAATTACAATTTAGAAATTAAACAGCATACATGTACATTGTGTATCTATTTGTTTTACTTTAAAAGATAAGTCATGTTCGATGTACATAGAATACCGGTATATACATGTAAAATGCATTGATTGCATTTTTATGCACATGCATATTATGGTTTTTATTGACGTATTGTTGGACAATTTCATTCTAAAATTCAGTTTGTTGGTACTACAATAGCCTTTGTTGTGCTGCATATACACACATAAATACAGCCTAAAATGCAAGCGGAACAGTTCCGATGTAATTTTTTTGAAAAAGGGACAGTGAAAGAAACAAGCAGCCTGTCGGCTGAGATAGCTCCGCTGTTAGCAATGCACATGGCAATTAAAGAACAGAAGATATCATTAGAAAATGAACAAATCTGAGAGAGGTCCACATGTAGTACCTATATGTATAATATATCAAAGCAATTGGATTTGCGGTTTTCAACAAGAAGTCGAAAATATCACATTTTACCAAAAATTACAAAAATATTCATCAAAATTAGAGAATTAAAGATATCATTATGAAATGAACAAATCTGAGAGAGGTCCACATGTAGTACCTATATATGTAATATCAAAGCAATTGGACTTGTGGTTTTCAACAAGAAGTCGAAAATATCACTTTTTACCAAAAATTACAAAAATATTCACCGAAATTAGAGAATTAAAGATATCATTACAAAATGAACAAATCTGAGAGAGGTCCACATGTAGTACCTATATATGTAATATCAAAGC